TTCTTTCCCAAATCCTAACCCTAGCAGCCCGACTCCTACCATCATATCCGCCCACCACCTCCGACCGGCGATACCATCGGCATCCGGCAACCGACCAAACTCTCCGACCACTTGCTCCGGCGACAACACTTCACGGCACCCGGGACCTGCACATTCACTTCCCATTTTTGTCTCTGCGGCTTTCACGGCGACCTCGCCTCACCGGCTTGACACCTGTTTTCCGCCGATGCCGTCGAACCGACCGACGACGTTCGAGCTATTCCCGGCGTCGAGCTGCTGTCCATCCGATTGCCGTGTTCGCGAGCTTCCAGCTCTGCCCGTCACACTCGAACTCCGGCAAGCTCGACTTCCCTAACCTATCCTCTGAACCCCGGCGACACGCGTTCGCGGCAGCAGGTTTCCGGCGATCGTGCCCACGTCCGTTCATCTCTCGAGCATACTCTCCTTCCGACTACCGAGCGCATCATTTTCCGTGGCCCCGACTGTTACCGAGGTATATGGCTTTACCTCTCGATTTGTTTTCGTTGATTAGTGGTGGGACTCGGCATTGAGAGTTGATATACTTTGATTGTGATTTATTGCCTCTTGTATTGATTCTTGCCGTGCTCGAAGTTGTGTTAATTGTCTCGACGATTTGCATATTCCTTGTCGATTGCGATTGTATATTGCCGTGGGTTGTGTGGAACGCGTCTTGCCGGACGTGTTCAAACTTTTTGTAGGTACATCTTCGCTCGTTCATTTTTCACGTTCGCTATGCCACCTACGAAAAAACGGGCCAAGCAAGCCGCCCAAGCTTCTAAGGATAAAAAGGTCGTAGTCGAGGAGTCGGAACCCGAGGAACCGCCTCGCCGTTCACACGAAGTAACCACTCATAGCCATGATGCACCTTTCGAGCTTAAGAATTCAATGGAGAGGGCCATTTTTCTCAAACTTCGGGCTGCGCGGATCATAAGGCCGAAGGTAATGGATTTCATGCTCTACGAAAAGCTCGAGCTCAAGGACGACGTAAAAAAGTACCTCAAGGTCCTCGGCCTATACAAATATGCTTCGATGAACCACCCCGCCTACACGAATATCACGCTGGAGTTTTACTCTACCTTTCAACTTGTGGAAGATCGGGAGGTCGTCACATGCCGTTTCAACGGCGAGCCCCGTAAGATTGATGCGGACGTAATGAAGGACGTTTTTGGATTCACGGGTGTTGGCTTGGATGCTCCGCCGGCGGATTTCGATGTTAAGGAGGCGTGGCGTGAACTATCGGGGCTTCCGATGAAGCCAAAGGGAGAGTTGGTTAACGGGCACATTCGAGACCACACGTTGTGCATCGTCCACAAGTTCCTCAATTATAATGTCTTCGGGAAGAAAGAGGGGTCAAAGGTGAGCACTAATGAGATCTTCATGTTACATTGTGCCCTTCATAACAAGCCCGTGAACCCCCTACCTTTCATTTGGAGCAACATCGACCAAATTCGGTGCACGAAACGGTTCTATCCGACCTATGGTGTGCTCATCACGGCTTTGGCTCGGCACTTTAAGGTCAAGAAGGGAACCGACATTGTGGACTCCACACCGATTGGGGTCAACGAGCTTAAACTTGGACAAATCATCCTCAACGAGACAACTTTGTGCCCTCACACCGATAGGAGATGTGTGCGCTCATACTTTGATACGAAGGCGGTGAGAGAGGCGGTTCCCGAGACTACTTCCGGTACCCGGCTGATAATTAATCTTCCTCCTTACGAGCACCCGATGACCGCCGTGAACAAGAGCCTTGCCGAGCTTCGTACCTTCATGACGGATGAGTTTGCGAGATTGGGTGCTCGACTGGACGCTCGGATGGACCGCATGGATAGCCGGATTGATACTCTCGACTCTCGACTTTCGACATTGATAGACTCTCGGGCCGTGGGCCCCACTCCTCTTCCGGATTCTCATGCCATGGATCCCGATTCTTCTTCTCTTCCTCCCGACGACACACCTATGGATACACGGTGATTTCTCACTGTGGAGTACGCATTTTCTTTTCCCTTTTTCTTTTTCTCTTCGTTTTGTTTATGTGTTATGTGCTTATTTTCCTTTTGTGTGTTTTTTCTCTTTCATTTGGGCTTGTGTGATTTGGTTTCCTCTCGTATGCTTTTTGGGGTTCCGCAATGAGGGCATTGCTTTGTTTTAAGCGTGGGGGAGGGAATTTCTTGGTTACATTTGCCTAAGTTATTGTCTTTTGTGTGCTTATGTGATTTTCTTTTTCGTTTTTCTTGGTGTTAGTTGTGACATGGACCGGTTGTTTTAGGTTGTTTTGTTTGTTTGTGCCAACTTTCCCCGCATGAGGCTTGATGTGCGTTTAAAAGTTCAAAATTGTTAAGTGGTGATTTGAGTATGTTGATTGACGTCATTGTTAACGTTTGTGCCTAATGAATTCGATGATTTTGACGGTACCTTTGAGTTGGATGATGATTTGTTAAACGTGGGACCCGCATATGAATTCACGAAATTGTTTTGTCCCTTGATTGTCTCGATTGATTGACTTGAGATAGGCGTGCCTTATGTTCGATTATTGTAAACGTGTTATGCTATTCGTTTGTAATGCATCTAGATCATTTGTGCGTTATGTGATTATACCTTTGATGTACTTTGTGCCTCTCCCTTCGGATTGAATNTATCTAGGAAACCTCGTTCGGAAAAAAAAAACAATCAAATAACGAATGGGAGTTGGCTTATTGGTCCGTGTTTATTGTAGTTTATCTTTTAGAGTCGACCGCATTAGCTTTTTGCACGCATATGTGAAAAGGTAGCTTAAATCGAGAATATCATGTGTAAGATGACTTGGGACGGGTTTTTGTTTTGTATGAATTTATATGTGGGGAACGTGTTTACAAATTTGAGTTTGACTCCTTGGATTACCGGAGGAAAATGAGAATTTCATTATTGCACATTTGTTAACCTTGGACCATTCGGCATTTCTTTTTGAGCTACTTAACGTTTTGTTTGCTTGAGGACAAGCAAAGAGCTAAGTGTGGGGGAGTTGTTTATTATATTTTTGTGCTTCTTTTTATGTGTTTCTTGTGCGTAGTTGAGTCGGTTTTAGGATTGTTTTAGCGTTGACCGGTCCATTTTATTGTTTTTCGTGTATTTTCGTGTCTTCCTTTTATTTTGTGTCCTGGGCGTATTTTTCCGTGCTTGTTGGTGTTATTTTCAGGTTTATTTCGAGGAGGACGAGAAGAATCGAATCAGACCCCGAGAGGCGAGAATTTCCAAAGATTCCGAGTCAGTTTCGAGAAGTCCCGAACCATTGAGCTAATCTATTCCGAAGATTTCGAGTTAAAATCGATCAAAAGTCTCCAAAGGTACTACACTCGCACCCCCGCGCCATTGCACTCGCGCCCTCAGCCGTCCGCGCTCACGAAATCCGCCGCCAGGTCGAGAGTCCGCGCCCGCGCCTCGCGAAGATAGCCGCGACATCGAGAGTAGCCTACTTCTCGTGCCTTCACCCGTGTCCGCGCGCTCGAAACCTCTCGCGACACCGAGAGTACCTTCTCGCCAAGCCGTCCGCGCGCGCGAGTCCCGCCGCCAGCTCGAGAGTATGTTTTTTTTGCCCTGCGCCACCTCGTGCCATGACCCGCGCACCCTTCCGTCCGCGCGCGCGAGTGCGGCCGCGACATCGAGAGTGCCGTCTTCTCTTGCGCCGATCCCGTGCGTCCCTCGAGCCTTACCCTGCCATCTCACGCCCGCGACCCGCGGAACTCGCTGCGAGCTCGAGAGTGTGTCATTTAATCTGCGTGTTTCTACTATGTGTTTTTGGAGCTGGACTATATATATGTTTTGGCCCTTTGTAATTGAACATCTAGATTTTCATTTGCTACTTTACTCTTTTTGGTAATGTCTTTGGTTTTTAGTTTTTCCTCTAGATTCTCCCTAGCTTAGTATTTTCCGGCGAACTATTTCCGGCAACTTTTTCCGGCGACTCTCGTTTTTATGCAAGTTTATATCTTTTTACTCCGATTTCGACTAAGCATGCATTAGGAATGTGAGTACTTACTTTTAAGACTTATATTTTCGTATTGTGCACCTAATTAGCTATCTAGTTAGTAGAAGTGATTAGGACTTGCTCGATTATCGGATATGTTTGCTCGTTTAGTCATTTTCCGTGTTTTTGTAATTTTTGAGCTTGTCTATTGTGCTTGAGTGTGTTGAAGTGTGAATTTCTACTTGAAACATCGTGACTATGATATTGAGCTCGGTTATTTCGTCGTAGAATCTTCGGCTTTAACTATTAAGTGTAGTAGATGGAGTTCGTTTCTTTTGTTTTAGCTCGTTTTTGTTGATTTTCGGTTCTCCGGTTTAGTAAGCTAGAGTTTCTAGTATAATTGCTTAGTTAATTGCTAGTTGCTTACTTTCTTAGTTAATCTAGTGCTTAATCAATCTTCAACCAATGAATAGAATGTTTAGGATTTATTTCTCTCGTTTTGTGTTTTTGGACAATTGAATAGCAACCAAAGCTCCGAATAGCCTTCCTTAGAGAACGACCCGAGTCGGGTAACTCGGTTACCACATACCCACAAATCTCTACTAAACATGATCTATATGATGAAGATGATAGGTTGTTTGAGTGTCATGTAGATGCTGATATTGAATGGGGAGGGGTAAATAGAGATGAAACTTAT